TCACGCACAGCCCTCACACACAGACTTGATAGAGTTCAAGAGGAGTCCTTTCTCTGTAAGTGCTTTTTGGTGCTTTCTAATGAAAAAACTTTCTTATACCATCAATCCTTGTGCTAGCTTTTCATATTTATTGTTTAGACATGTTACTTCATTAAGATCACACAAGGAACAAATGTCTGTTAGTAAATGAGTTTTCTAACCCTGTCTATGGTAGAAATGTTGCTTCACTATTGTCTCTGACAGGATATGATTCTTCAGTTAAAAAAAAATTATGCTGGCTAAAGGCAAAGTTGGAAAAGGCAGACAAGTTGTATATGTATTTATTTTAGAGTGAGCTGTAGAAGTTAGCTGCAAAACTTCTATTGGAAAGTACAAGCTGTACTTTCACAATGGCCACCCTGGCACAGCCTACAAAGTACTAGAAGGGCCAAGTGGCAAGCTCACTGCAGTCCTGAAACGAGATATTGGTGATTGCCTGTAAGTAGGCATATGAACCTCAGCGTGCTATTTGTTAATTGTCACAAGAGACTTGTATGAGAAGCTTCCAATCAGCAATTTGGAGCCAGGCCATGCATCTTAGTTAGCCAGTCGAAATCAGCAGTTCACGAACAGGTTAGTTTGTGTAAGTTATCTGGCACTTAGTCAGAAGTCAGACTGAGAGGAAACAGGAGTCCATTGTGAATGTCTCACAAACAAGAAAAAAAACCCCTAATTTAATCACGCGCTATAGAAAATAAATAGTATGATCGGTTCCAGATTAAGCTTGAGCAGTATTATTGAACCAGCTATAAGAATATGAACCCACATTTATATTGCTTGAATCCACATTTAACTTGCTAGCCATCTTTTGCAAAATTATTGTGCCATTTAAATAATTAATAGTTCATTTCTTTAGGTATCAGGGCTCCAGGCAGTAAAAAGACAGCTTGTAAAAAGGTGCTTGGGTAGTTTGTGTGCTTGGTGCATGGTAAAGTGTTTGTAGGATACCTCTGGTTATTCCAGGTGAGGCAGACTGCATTTTGCCGTGCATACTACAGTTAACATAGGCTAAGACAGTCAATTCCTTGAAGAAAGGTAGAGGTTTTACCCTCCAAATCACCACCAGTACTGAACAATACTAAGAAAGGTCTATTCATCTCAACTTGTCCCTCTGGATAAGTTATAGAATAACCAGTATCCGGCTTCTTACACATTTGGGCTTTAACCCCATTGTGCAAACTCAGGGAAGAAACAGCAGTGATGAAAGAGATAGATTAAAGACTGGGAATGGGAGCAGTTTTGGTATCTGACCCCCTCCTTTTTTTCTCCTCCCAAATTTAGAAAACTAATGCCAGAATTTTTAATGGGGATGAAGGGGAAGCAAGGAGTTAAACCAGGACGTGACTTTTAGCTCTGACAGAAAAGGGGCATATCTTGCTGTTTCCCATTCACCAAGCCATTTCGGAGGTGAAAAGCCCCCCCCCGTGGGAATTTTGCTTGTTTGCATGGGGAGTGACCAGCCACGGTGTGAATTTTCTGTTGTTACTTTATTTAACACTGCAAAGGAGTTGCCAATTCTATTTGAGGCTCCATCAGTGCTGTTAATGTTGCCACTTTGGATAGAATGAGTTTATCTCAACAGATAGTCCTCAGAGCTTGATAAATTTAAGTGCTGATGCTAATGTTTGAGAACTAGTTACTCCAGTAGTTCCAAGCCAAATAAGATCCAGATAAGTGGAGCCAGTAAAAACAGGGGGTATTACCACTGGCAATATTGTTTCTTCTTTCAGCATTGCCTTTATTTAGACAACAGCACCATTTATTGGAAATAGCAAACAGAGGTTTTTATTAATTATTTACTTTTTATTTTTTGCATTATTCATTCTTTATGATCAGCATTTCACAAACTGAAAATTGAAGCAAAGGCTTATTTCAATCCTGAGTTTTAATTGTGTGATAGCGGGTATGTTGACACCTGTGTGCACAAGACTGTTCTCATCCCACAGCAAGGGAAGGCATCACCACACAATCCTGGAGGTCTCTTCCAGCTTCTACCTGCTTTTATATAGCAAATATGCTGCCCATACGCTAGGACACTGTTGGTGGTGTGGGCTAGGGGAAGGCATTCAACCATAGTACACAACTCACTGCTGAACCACCACATCAGCTGGTATTAGTTCTGCTACCTAACCAATATAAATCCTATTTAATATGTTGGTGTTCAAGTATATGAAGGAAGATGGGCATAGTGAAGGTAAAATGAAGAAAAGACTACACAGGCACCGGTACTATGGGCCCTAACTGTGACATACTTGATGCTGTAGGTGCACTCTTATTCTAGCTGTGAAACACGAGGAAATGTTCCTAATTTTGTTCTGCAACCCCCCCACTGCATGTTCTTGGCAGCATCTTGCCTTTATTGTGATTAAATAGGGCTTTACACAAAGTGCCCAGGGACACAATGGAGCATTAGTTACTACCAGAAGACAAGTATTAAATACCATGCACAAAGTAAAGTGAACTAGTACCCAGACAGACTCCCACAGGAGGGGAACATGTTTCCCTGTTCCTCCAGCTCAGGTGCAGGCACAGGAGCACCACCCTCCTGCTCTGGCTCCTTCCATGGAGATCCCCAAAAGCCACCCAGTTCCCTGCTCTCTGGGAACAGAAAACCCCTTTCCTCTCCTTGAAAGAAAGCTGAAGCTTGCTGACAGAGGAATATCTGACTCAGTGTCTGATCGTTTGAAAGCAGCCCTTTTTGCCCTGGAAGTTAATTTAAAATAAGCTGTATTTCGATGCTGTCAGGAAGCTTGGCTGGTTAGTCCTCAAAGGTTACAAACAAAAAGACTGAAGGCAAAGTTCCTGTTGTGCCATGGCAACTGTCAAAAACTCGTGTACACATTAGCAAGATCAAGCGTTTTCCCAGCCTGGGAAAGAGCAGGTAAACACCACGCTAATCCCTCTGGAGCTGAGACATGCAGGCTGCCAGGACATGCTGCTTTCATCAAGAGATGCAAGAAGTCAGTCAGGATTCTTTTCTCTCCTCACAGTTTGTTTATTCAAGGTACTTATGCTCTGATGGTTCATGCTTTACAAGGCTGCTCTGCTTGTTCCTTGTCGTGCAGCTGTGCTGACTGAAGTACAAGGGAGCATAGCACAGAGGGAGAGGGAAGCTTCAAAAGCTCAACTTTGTACTAGAAAAACCCAGAGCAAGCTGATAGCAAGGTCCCAGGGACCTATAAGTCAGGGTCTGCAAACTCTGCTCATCCTTAACCATAAGACCTATCCGGCTCCAGCAGTGTTTCCAACTTGCTAAACTGGGTGTTGGGGATGCATTTATAGAACACGATAAAATGCCTTTGAGCCTATGTGGAAAGTACATGGCCACCTAGGACCACTTCTTATGAGGTAGGGGTACTGTAAGTGATCAGGTGCCTGAATCAGGGTTTCCCCACAGGTGGACTGGTAGCACTGCTTCCTCATCCAGACCCATCAGCATCTGAGGAGCAGCTGTTGGACTAAGATAACTTGGAATATATTAAAAGTCTTGCTCTGTGCAAATTGTTTAGGTTTTCTTTTAAATGTCTTTTGAAACCTCTTTTCCTAGACCCTTACTCAAATCTTCATAAGAACAATTAAAAAAGGATTAATTTCGCAGAGTTCACTGGGTATTAGCGGTGGGCAGGGCCTGCTAAGCCTTGTGGAGGAAATGCTGCATGCAAAGTGAAGATGTTGACATGAAGCAGGGCATGCAGGGGGAGATCTGCTCCCCTCTGCCCATCCTGCTGGGCAGGACTGCACAGCAAGAGATGTAAGGTAGACAGTGACATGGGAACCACTGCCAGAGTTTAGTGGCCAGGACACCTTGATAAGGTACGGATGAAAGCCAGGCTGCATTCCTGTGCTCTGCAATGTTTACAAATGTTTTCTGTGACAACAGAGAAGAAAAATAACTTGAGTTTGTTAACTTGAAGGAGGTGGCACAGACACAGCCTCGTCCATGCAACCTGGGTGAAGACACAAAATTATACAAGCATGAAGCTAAGGAACGTTGGGCCACTCTGCACCTTCTGTATTGAAAATGTCCTCAACTGAGGGGCAACCTGGAGAATATAGTGAAGAATACTTTTTCCTGTCAGAAACTGAGGGAGTTTTGGGGTGGAAGTGCAGGAACGCATCTCAATCCATGAAGTTTATTAAACTTCATCCAAGACATTGATCAAAGTCCAAAATTCACTTTTCATCCCTTGAATCTCATGTCCTGTTGTTGTGTAGAAAAAATTATGGATTTGTTATCTTAAGGCAGGAAGACCATGGGGAATTCAGAGGGCTCACAAGCCTGTGGAAAGGCAGAGTTGATAAACTGGCTGCTAATGAGCTGCCAGTTCCAAGAGAAGGGAGAGAGTGCTCATGCTGCAGTCAGTAGCTGCAGTGAGTCTCCTTCTCTGGTGCTACAGGCACCTCACATGGTAAGAATATGGTAAATGACTCAAAAAAAAAATCTGATTTTTCTTAAAAGTGTTCAAGTCACATTTACAACTGGCAATTTTTTAACTTTTGAAGGCAGCAGACAGTCTTTTATTATGTTTCTCTACCACACAGCAAGTAAAAGGGACCTTAGGCTACATCACCTCAGCATTTACTTCTATTACAATTTGAATCCAGCGAAACAGTGGAGGTTTTCTGGAATAAAATGGCCAAAACTCGTAATCAAGCTGAACACCTGAAAACACCACTGACATGTTCCTGATATGAAAAGTAATCCAGTTTATATTTCACTGTTTACTTTGAAAGGAGGGAGAGCTGTACTCTTATCAGATTTTTCCCTACAGCTTTTAAGAGCAAGATGAATGTATGGAACTCTGTGAATGCAACAGCTGAGTTCAGTTTCATTGCTCTTTACAATTTTCTTTGCTTTCTTTCTGTTTAAAGAAAATCGAGGAAATAAATAATTACTTATCAGGGATTTGCTTCTTACACTATGAATGCAAATGCACGGTGTCAGCTGAGCCTCACTGACATCAGTGCCTGCTTTTAAGGCTTTACAGAACCATCTTGTAAACACTAGTGGCATTTGAGTCATCTCTTCTGCCTCCTCACAGTCATACAGGAATGATTGAACATTGAGGCTGTGAGGGAGGTAGAGAAACACTTTGGTTTATGGTGTTGTCCACAGAGTTACAGCCTTCATGAAAGCTCACTCTAGCTTAGAAGGTTTATAGAGTTTGGAGACCTTCTTTTATCTATGTTTCCTACCTATATAAACTAAATAAAAACACAGACAAGAAAGCTTCCTAATAGGGCAGCCTAGATCTGAAGAGCAAATTAAGGTCAATTCCTGCTAGGAATTCAAGCATGAGTTACTTTTCTCTTTCAAGTAGTTTTACTTATGTTAATAGCCACTGTTCTTTAGTTTATGAATTATTCATGTGCACGAGTCTCCATGAGACTTGAGCCTGCAGGTTACAAACTTGTATTAAACATCGGGTGGCTTAAAAATATATTGGTAAAGAAGTACAGAACAACTTTTAATTGGTGCTAAAAAGAATAGCGATAGCAACGGTCAATTATTGTGAATAAAGATGGTTAAACAAACACTGTCTACAGAAGAATGTCATAAGTATCTTCAATACATCTTCAAGAGTTTGTCTTGCATATTATGCTTTCATTTTATGCGGGAGCATTTTAAGGAACATGAAGCCATGTTCATCCAAAGGAAAATAAACACATGTTAAGCAGTACATGTCAGGCAGAGTTTTTGGCAGAAGAATGGTGACTCCAATTTAATATGCTATTTATTTTATCTTTAAGTCCACCGCTGTGTTTCAATTCTTCCAAGCAAAGTAAGATACAGTTTTGTGGGAATTGTTTGTTCTTGTGATGTTTTTTACAGTGGTTGCAGCTCCTGGTGGTTCCCACTGCTTTGGTGACTAGTGGTGAGCAGTGTCAGCCTCCAGGACCCCGGTCCCCTCTCCCTGCAACCAATCTGTTAACATCACTCAGGATACTGTACAGCTCAACTAAACAGCATCTTTAACGAGGAGTCTCACATGCAAACAGGTAAGCCTAGGAAGTCCTGTCTGTATTTGATCCAAAGTTAAAACCAGCAGATGTAGTTTGGGAGACCTGATGGCTCCTGCCAGCTCTTGTAGCAGCTGGTCCACAGGCTCTCCTGTATGCTTGTAGACTTCCCATCCATCGTTCTTCTGCATGCTGAATGTAGCAGGGATGAGGGAAGCAGGTACCAAGCAGGAGAGCACAGCATGGAGGCAGAGGTCAGGCAGGGAAAGGCAAAAAATAATGGCAGCTTGAAGGAGAGCGGGAGGGTCTGCGTCAGAGAAAAACCTGAGGCAGCAGTGAACATGGTGTGGGAAGGTCCTGGTGTTCACAGGATAGTTGTGGGGCTCTGAATGTCTGTGCATGGACACACGGGAAGCAGGCTGAAACAGCATCTCATCCATACCAGGGCTAAAACTTCTGCAAGAACTACAAGTTTCAGTCATGAATTGGTGAGGTCCCACATCAAGTCATTTTTCTCCCACCTTGGCACTTGTTTGTTGGTTTGTTTTAAATAACAGACATGTAACAGACTCATCACATGTGAGAACTCTGCAGGAAAAGCTGAATGTGTGTATTTTTTTAGAAAATCTATATAGCACATCTGTTAAACACTGTGTGCCAAAAGAAATGTTAATGCTGAGTGACCAGACGTGTGTTTTGGAACTGGATTGAGTGGAAGAGGTCAGCTGCACTTAGCAATGGCAGATTGCAGCAGATATAATCCAGCCCTTTGCACTCAAGGCTTTGTCATTTTGAAAGGCAGCCACACTCGGAAGAACACTGTGGAATTTCAAAGTATTAAAATTAAACCCCACCTCAGCACAAAGGCAGGTTGTCTACCTACTGGGCTTGCAGTATGAACACATGTTCAAATGGCATTGCAGGTAAACTGGTGAGAAGGCTGTGGTGTGGCAGAGGAGAAACCAAGCTAGAAATTGCTTCTCTGAAATGTAAGTCAGCGACAAAGTACAGGTGAGTGTCCTGGGATGTCCACAGGATGAGGAGGGGCTTCGAGGCATTGAAGTGGCTGCCAGCAGTGTGGTGGTTTTGCTGCAGCTCAACACACACACCATGTTTGTGCCCAGCACAGTGAAAGGCAGCAGCTCTTCCCCCTTTCTCCCAGTGCCATGACTCTTCTGTGCCCACCAGGTTCCAGTGGGGACCACACTGTGCATCAGAGAGTGACGTGGGGTATGATGAAACTGGTCAAGCACAGGCTACCATGATAGTGAACACTATCGAGGCAGTGGTGGTACCGAGGGTGGTGGCTCTGACACCCACTACACTAATAAAATGTCTCTGCATTTAAAATGTAGCAAGCCAGCTGTGTGAGTATGGAAGGAGGTTTAATCCATACCCTCACCTCAATAAACTTGTTTAAGCCCTGAGTCCTTGCCCTGAGTCAGGGGTTGGGGAACACTGCACCCATCAGCTGCAAGGACCCCTGCCCTGGTAACCCCAACTAAGGGACCTCTGGTCTTTTGGTCTGTATTTTCTGCTGAAGCCATTAGTTTTACCATTTGTATCTTTCCTCTTTGATTCAGTAAACCCAGTAAATACCTCCCATTCTGTGCATATTATGCCACAGGTTGAAATTTGTCTCCTGCCAGCTGGTGCTGTTTCAGTTGTTCACCCGGCAATGTCTAAAAGCTCTTTCAGGACCTGTGACCTGCTCCATTAAACAGTTGTCTCTGGACAGTAAGGACAGGCTTTAATGACATTTGGTTGCTTCCTGCTGTGAATATCGGGTAAGACTCAGCATATCTGACAAACGATCAGGAAGGGTAGGACCTTTTCCCCAGCATGTCTGAGGGGTCTCTAAGTGCTGGATCTCATTAGCGACCTGCAGTAATGAACTGAGCTGTCCTACCTTTTACCATCAGGTTTAAAAGGTCAGGCTAGGCATGATGTCTGTGAGTAGGTTTAGCACACTGAGGAGGTGACTGTCACCAAATTGTAAGCATGGTTTTCCAGCAGATATCAATGTATTATTCACCTTCACTG